GCCTTCAAACGGCTTCTGGTACCGGCGGTGGAGATGAGAACGCTTCACTAAACCCACTTGTAGCGATACACCCTTGGGCGAAATTGGAGGAAATGAGAGCACTGAATTGTGTGAATAAGTGGATGGGCTATATGGAGTGGGGTTGAGAGAAAGAGACGAGGTGCTAAAGGTTAAAACAAAAGATAGGGTCGAGGAGTGATTTCACAACAGTTGAACAGAAAATTGGTCAAGGGGATGCATTCACTTGTCACTTTGATCAGTTGTAACTCTTTGCTTACTACGGCGCCTCTCATTGACGATGCCGACGTATTGCATCGTCAAACGCAGCTTGTCCGGAGTCCATAGAATGTATGAGAATTTTCAGAGTCGGACCGTTGATGTGGTAAATTCTCAGATATTTCGCCGGTATCGTCAGTGCGCCTTGCCATTCTTAACACCACACTACAACTCGCCTACTCAATAAAGAAAGAAGTAATATCGTAAACTGCTATTGGTGATGATAAGATCTATGCGAGGTTAAAACTGCAACTTTTGGGAAAGCAAGGGTATGTGAAATTTAATACGAATGTCAGCTTTTCTCATATAATTGTGGAAAAATTCTACTACCAGTCCTTCATCATCTTAAACGAAATAGAGTGAATATATCTCATATTACTGATTTACTGGTAGCCTCGAAATTCTACTTATATACGAACAATAGCAAATATAAGTTTACTCCACCGACAATCTCAACACAGAATGTGACATGGAAAATGCTTGACACTCCTTGACATTCAAATCTGCCCTATGAGCTAGGGGCACTTGTGGCAATGTGGTGTAGTAGTTAACATGTCGAGCTTACACGCAACACTGTCACGATTCGACCTATGCGAGGTCGAAACTGCAGTCCGTCATGGATGGGAACAACTTTTGGGAAAGCAAGACTATGTGAAATTCAATGGAAACGCCAACTCTACTCACATCATTGTGGGAAAATTGTACTGCCAATCCTTCATCACCTTAAACGAAATAGGATGAATACAACTCATAGAAGTTTCAGTTGTTATGTTCTGCTCTTTATTTTCCTAAAACATATCAATATCTATGAATCTATCCGCCTAATTCAAGCGTATTAATTTGCTCCATACCATGTAAAGCCTCAGGAAATAACGCACTTCGGTTTCGAAGTTTGTCATGTTGGCCTGCAATTTCCTTAGTCTAGGTTCTTTCAGTGCTGATCTGACCAACGGCCAATAAAAAGTAAATAAGTGGAACAACTCAGGTGATTTTCCAGATAAACGAATACGTACCATTTTTTATTCCCTGCTCGCGTTATCGTTTGTTTGGCAATTTTCGGTGCTATAAATTCATTGTCTGATTGCTTTTGGCGGGACCGAATGGTCAACAATGAGTCATTACAAACTGTTGGTACAATTGCTTTACTAGATAGTTACCAAGTCGGCTGATGGATTGGATGGAATTGTGAGTGAGAGAGCAAATGAGATTTTTTTAAAGACCTTGAGATGGATGTAGTGATGATTGAATGACGTAACCAGTGGATTCAGCAGTGGCTTTATTTTCCGTTAATTATAGATATTTTATCTGATTCTTACCCGTCATTTTTACACCATGTGAAATTTGGCACCACTATCCTCCTAGATTCAACAATATATTTTTATGAGATGTTATAGTCTCGAAACTCTACTTATATACGAAAAATATTTTTTTATGTTGCTTTATTCCTAAGGTTAATTACACAATTCGAAAGAATCACACGAATTTAACCAATAACTATTTTGCAGGCCTTACTCAAGCCTCTATAAACGTGCCTTAGAGAATCAGTCTACGAATTTATCTCATTCGAATTAATTTGCAAAAATTAAAGCCAGAAGATTTTTTACTTGAGTGATAAGCGTGCCTGGAAACGAAACCGTCTTATGGTCTTATGCTTTATCCCACCAAACTTTTCATCAGGGCTGTCATCAAAGGCTGAGTTTTCATACATACGCCTAATGACTGGCATATCGAAAGAAATAAAGACAAACTGACATGAGCACAGCCAAAAAAATACTAGTTGCTTATTGATTCATGATAATTTAGCAGAGTTGCTTTCGTAGGAAAATTCGGTTTACCATAACAATTATCTAAATACCGAGTGTTCCTTCACTACGAGCTCAACGAATTCTGATTTCGCCTATAGCTTGCTGACGAGAAAACCGAAAGAACAATTCTTAATCAGCACTTCTAGCGAGCGGAGACTGGGTCTTAAATTCTCTAACCATATTCGTTTATCTTGATCTACATCTACAAACAATTTCATTTCGTTGTGTAGCAAAAGTTGGATAAAAATTATCTGTAATTTGCTTTCACCGGAAACCGAAGGAAGCTCGCCTTTGAGTTGTGACTGTTGATTTGTGGGCAGTAGTCCTTGGTCCACTGTCCGGTGGCCCCCAATCCATTCGTGCTGATATTTCGCTTGGCCTGTGATGGAAAAGGCATTCTTTGACAAAATTTGCCAAGAACATTGGTCGGCTGCAATTCTACCGAGTAATTTTCTCAAAGCGGATGTCAACTCAACGGGAGGCCGCTGACACCTCACTCGCATCCTCCTACTCTGGTTCACAATTGCCCTCACCTCGCATGTACAAGTGCCCCTTAGGCCTGCTTAGCACTCCTGCTCGTCAGTTGGGATTTGTCTGGCCTAGAAACCACCATCTCTCCCGTCTTCCCAGCCCCGTTGTCTGGCTCGCCAACATGTACACTCGGAAAGCGGACAAATGGAGCTGGGTACAACACAACATTGGCTATTTTGCACCCCGACGCACAAACTACATTTTTTCCATGCACCACTTTACTCGTTTATCAGGCACACTCATGTCGAATGCCTGCAGTCACTCAAATGCATCTCTATCTACAGTTGCCGTCCTTCTTCCTTTTCAACCGGGCCTCTCCCTCTCTCTCTCTCTCTCTCTCTCTCTCTCTCACCGTCTCCACCC